CGCAGGAAACGAAGGAAGACCGTCGACTAGCTACGGCGTTCCCGGTGCGAGCGGGAATAACGGGGGCGGTTTCGGAAACGTAGGAGGCGAAGGGAGACCGTCGACTGATTACGGCGTTCCCGGAGTGAACCGCAACCATGGGGGTGGCAACGGTAGGCCCTCGAGTAGTTATGGCGTACCTGGCGCAAATGGAAATGCGAATAACAAAGGTCGCTTCAATAGTGGAGGACCATCGAGTAGCTACGGATCCCCGAATGAAAGTGGATTCGCCGGAGGATTGTCAACCAGTTACGGGCCACCTAATAGAGGTGGAAATAGTAACAACGGCTATCCATCCGGAGACTCAAACGGAGGAAGTTTCGTAGACGGTGGGGCTAACGGCTATCCATCTGGTGGTCCAAGTAGAAACGCAGGGAATTTCGGGGACGGAGGTTTCGGAAGAGGAGAAGGCGGAGGAGGAGGGGGAAATGGCGAGGGTTACAATGACAATGCGCAGGAGGGAAATACTGTAAGTGTACACGTTTATATGTCTCGTTAAAATTGAGTGAGCCAGAAGTGAAACGAGGCAATTGTCCGAGGTGGACTGTAGAATAATTTTCTTCCGAAGCGGCCATTCTTTTCGATATTTTTGTCGAACTGCCGTTATTTCGGGTTTCGGAGTAGATTTGAAGGCTTCGTCCCGTTTTCAGGAGCCGGCGAAGTACGAGTTTTCCTACAAAGTGAAGGATCAGCAAACCGGCAGCGATTACAGTCACACGGAGACTAGAGACGGTGACCGAGCTCAAGGCGAGTTCAACGTTTTGCTTCCAGACGGTAGGAAACAGATTGTCGAGTATGAGGCTGATCAGGATGGATTTAAACCGCAAATTAGATACGAGGGCGAAGCGAATGCCGGCGGAGGATACGGCTCCGGCGGACCAAATGATAACAGCGACGGTTATTCTTCTGGTCGACCAGGTAGCGAAAGCGGTGGTTTCGCGAGTAACTCAGGATTTAATGGAGGCGGTAGTAACGGTGGTTATCCAAGCGGTGGCGCCGGCGAGGGAAAACTCAGCGGATTTAATAGCGGAGGCGGCAGCGGTTATCAGTCGGGAAGGCCAGGTGCGATAAGATTGCGAGCTGCCGTTTAATTAAGTCCGAGTGACGCGAGAGACAAGCGGAAATTTCGGAAATCTGCATTAAAGAACTTTGAACTCTTGTCTAACGAGCTATTTAAATACTGTACACAAAGTGCCATGTTAAAAAATCTAATTCTTTCTAATTTTGATATTGATATTTTACATTTGAAAATTCTCTCTCTCTCACTTTTAAATAAAATAATTTAAGAATACATAATTTCCGTAGCAAAATAGTAAATTACACTACGCACTTTAACATTGCACTCGTGGATTCTTCGATTGAGAAAGTCCTATTTTACAGCGGGACAATCCTTTGGTCGAGATAACGACGGTGGTTTGAGCGGTGATATCGGCGGTTACTTTCCCAATCCTCCAAGCAATAACATCGGCGGCAGTGACAATGTGAACGTCGGAAGCAACAGACAGACCGACGGTAATAGCGGATATCAATATTAAAGAACGCATAGATGACTAGATTTAGAGATTATCGGAGTCTTGGATAATTTTGCAAAAGGGCGAGAAGAATCGATTGAGGAAAATTATTTGTCACAAATTTATTTGTACATTTAGCCAAACAATATCTAGCAATATTCACACGAATGGGAAGCCTCCACACCACGGTATTATTATCTCATCCATTTATAAGATTTTTCATCAGCAACGAAAAGTCAAATTTATCAATAACGAATCCGGTTGCTTGCCCCAGTGCGCACTGAGTGTACACTAAAGCTCTTTCAATTGTTATATTTAAGTTCGTCTTAAATACACGTTAAAAACTATTTAACCAAACAATTAATCCGTATGGACGCTTACGAATCGTTTTACCGACTAAGAGATACTTCAAGACAATCCTGAAATATAAGAATTGATTGCAAACAAGCTTCAGTGTGCACTCAGTGCGCACTAGAGCAAGCAACCGAATTCGCTACAAGACACACCTTGCTCTCTGTATATTATCTAAGATAACTATCTGTATCTCGAATGTAAAATTCATAAATTAATATTTATTATTTCATAGCACGACTTACATAAACTTATGTAGTAACATTTAATTGAGCAGAAAATAAAAAGTCAACGGATGTATAACCGATATCGACACCAATTCTTTCTTCGTCGTTGCAAAAAGACACGCTTGTCCTCGTACGTCCGATCATTGCGATCGATCGAAAGGTATCTTTTGAATCCCCGTTGCTCCTTTGAAAAGCAAAACGTACGCGAAAGTTACGTAATAACCGCGAGATTAGCACGCAGAGGCAGACGTCAAACCGTTAGATGGAATTAGATATTGTACGCGGCGTGCAGCTGCGCGTAGAATAATTTCGCCCTCTTACGCCGAACTAATTTCACACTTCCGCGGCGTGCTCGGGGGAGCGCGACCTTAAGGGTCGCACGACGCACTCGCACGACAAAGATTTAACACGGCAGAAACACGGCCGATGTGTACAATTACGCAGCTCCGTATCCGGCTTGCGTTGTATCTCGTGCGACCCGCTCGCTCGGCCGTCGACAGGAAGTCGAAGTCGGCCCGGTCCGACGCCACGTGTGAATCTCCGGGTATTAAAACGCGCGTTGCAGCCGGTCGCGGTTTCCCAAACGGCCCCGGCGATGTGCAATGCCCGCGGGTCGACGAGAGAGTCGTAAAAGGCGACGCAGAAGTCGCCTCGGATTCCCTTGTTTTGCCGGATTAACTTGCCGAGCTGTAAAACTCGACCGAGCCGAGACGACAAAAATACTTCTCCGAGAGGATTGTCCTAAGATAATCTCCTCTATCCGGTACACGGTGAGAGAAAGAATAAAAGATGAAAATACGCGCGTAATAGATATTTAAATTAGAGTATAAAGAGATCGACCCAGCGAGAAATGACTCGTCGATCGATGTCGAAACAATCTCGAATCGACATCGACACCGTCCACTCGATGTCGAGTCCGACATTGTTTCGACGAATCATTTCTCCCTGGGATTCGTTTGAGACTTCTCCGAGAAAAGTTCTAGCTTCGAAACTTATTTCCTCGAGAGCTTAAAAGCGAGAGAAATCACTTGTCTCGCCTCCTTTCTTAAAAGGGAGAAATGTCCGAAGTGAAGTGCATATTGTTCGCGACCTCTCGCGCAAATTCCAATTTTGAAAAGGTAAAATATCCTTGTATCCCCAACGTTGCGTAAGTTTCCGCGCAGCGCGATTGTTAGTGCGTTAGTTAGCCGGGCATTTTCGAGACACGGCGTGAAATTCTCGCGCATTCACACGGGGCGACGCATCGGCAATATTTCATAATTAGTTGCAATTCAATTTGCACGGCGACGATATGCGCGCGCGCGCGCGTATACGTAGACGCACGCGCGCGCGTGCGAATGCGCATAAATATAGCCAGCGCAACCAGGAACAAGAGAAACAGGTTCCAGCCACGGTACCGTAGATCCTCGAGGCATCATTGAGCGAACCAGCTGCGCCCGCTGCTCGGGATTTCACTGTAAATGTCAACCCGAGGCACGCGAAACGTCCCTCCGGATTTAAAGGAAAGTCGTTCCGCGAGCCGAGCCGCATAATAAAGCCGTTGCGCGAACGCGAAGGGATGAAAGACGCGAGGAGGGGGTGTTCATTCAACGACCGACACTCGCGCACGCCCACGGGGAGTGCTTCACCCTTTCGCGATCTCCTCGCCTCGTCCTGAAAATATTAGCGAGGAAGCCGAGCTTAACGCTCCTCGTCAACTTTCAGAGCACGGATTACTCATTCGTGGGGGGGGGGGGGGGGAAGCCAATGGCTCTCGTTAAAGTGACCGAATAAGAAAGAACGGAACAATATCATCGAGTTTTTGTCGACCGACCTGTTTAGACCCAGGTATTACGCGGCTAGAAGCCTTGATCGGATACTCGGGTATTCACAGAGGACTGTAATTGACGTTAGGAGATTCACGCTGTTCCGAACTTTCCAAACTTTCCTCTAACGCGACGGCCGTTTTTTAATTTCGAAAGGTGAAAAAGATATTGTTATACGCGTTACGGAGCGACGTAGCCCCGTTACGGTTAAACAGAGATACTTGCCGGGCACATTAGAAAGTTGCGGACTTTATGAAAGTACATGAGACCCGAGCATCGTTAATTACCGCTCCTCTCTGCGAGCGCGAAGTGGCCTAACGTCTACGAGGATGCTAAACGCCCGCCCTCGCCGCCAAAGATCGGTCTAATTATTTTACGGCGATGTGAAAATTGCCGGAACATCTCGTGGCCATTATTTCGCGCCGTTCCGTTATGTCTGAAATGCTTCGTATCTTTAAAACCGGCCGTTCTCGTGTCGTTAATAAATTAAGATTTGCAAGTAAGAAATACACATTTGTACACGGGGGGGGGGGGGGAATTTTCTTTCAAAATGTGCCCTGAAAATCATGTAATCGTGGGACAACGCGGCATTTCGCAGAATTTTGTGAGAATCATTTGAAATGTTACCATACATTTTACTGGCAATTGCATTTGGTGTACATTTTATCGGTAAAATGTGTTTTAATAAACGCCGCATAAAATAGAAATTCGCACAAATTTCATCACAAGGTTCTTCATCAGATGCCACGTCGTCCCACGATTTTCAGGGTAAATTTTAAGACAAGTAATCGGATTGTCCGATTATATTTAATCGGACATCTTTCTCAGTGCGAGTACAGAATTTTCAATTTACTTGGTATTTCGCAGACGCGGGACAACGAACTCTCCACGTTCGCTTTTTTGTTTTGCCTCCCCGTGCGATATCGTGCGACGTTACACGTAATATGCGTAACAGCCGCTAAACAAAGTAATTCGAAGTAATAACTGCAAGTACGGAATTTTCCGTTCACCTTGTACTTCGTAGACGTGAGGCAACGTTCTCGCCGCGTTTGTTTTTGTTTTGCTCCCCCGTGCGATATCGTGCGACGTTACGCGCGCGCGTCATTGTGTACGGTACCTACGCGAAGGTGAAGGTCGCCGCGCTATCATTCGCTCGCCGAACTTCGAGCCGGCGGATCGCGCTCGGGAGTTGCTCCGTGCGTCGTGTACTTATTATTTTTGCGCTATTAGTTTCCGAAACGCGGTGTGCGTGGATAAAACGCTCTTGTACCTGGTTTTCTCATTTTCTGGTTAATCGTCAACTAGAAAGCCAGTCGATTTCCGTGCGATCTGTTTCCCCGTTTTCGGGAAAAGGGAGAGAAATTTGTCGGCGCGCGTTGCCCGCCGCAATCCGTTCTGTCGTACTTCGCAGCGCGAGCAGGCAGGAAGTAGAGAAAGTCGCTTATCGCGCGTCGTTACGTTATATCACGAAGTGTGACAGAAAATTATCTCAATTAACTGTTACAATTAATAAACTATCCGTCGCGGTGGACGTCTCGCTTGCGTAATTTACTTGGCGCAAGGCTTAGATTGATTTACGGTAGGGATTGCGAAATTTCGCTGCGGACTAATAATTGCTTGTTCGCCGCGGATGCTTGGATTCCGATTCTCGCGTCGCGTTTTGTGTACCGCCAATTTAAAAGTGATTTATCCATCGCCACTTCCGAATCAAGAATACAAGATGACATGTGAGTTGTCGGTTTAAACGATTCGCGTGACGGAAAGCCACACGACGTATGTTAATGATACTTCGTGCGTTACGCCGTGTGTCGTGTCACGTACGAGGGTGTCACGCGAAATTTCGCGCGATTGTAATTAATCATTTTCGCGAGTGAAAATTGTGTGAGTGCCACGAGGAAATCTGAGAGGAGGAGCCAGGCCCGGGAGGCATCGGGTATCGGCGGAGCAACTATGGGGTAAGTGTCTCATATGTTATTTACCACATGCAAAATTAAACATCCGCTCTCCGGTTTTCTTATTTATTCAAGCAATTAAAATAAGAGTTGCAAACGGAAACATACGATGAAATTTGATGAGTTTATATTTGAAAGACACATTTTCCGAGTACTCTATAAATATTTTATCAAATGTGCCGAAAGAAAGTATAAGATATTTAACGAAAGCGTAAAGGTATGCAAAATTAAACATCCGCTCCCCGAGTTTTCTTATTTATTCAAATAATTAAAATAAGAGTTACGAACGGAAACATACGATGAAATTTGATGAGTTTATATCTAAAAGAAACTTTTTCCGAGTACTCTATAATTATTTTATCAAATGTGCCTAAAGTATAAAATATTTAATGAAAGGATAAAAGGTACCGGTTGAGCGAGTGTACGGTTGTGTGAATGAGATTAAATATTTTATGTGAACCAAGCCCCGCTTCTTGGCTATAACGTATTGCTGAAGCGAATAATGTATGCACACTGAGAGACCCATTTTGTTGAATGGAACAAAATTTAGTTGACTCGCCTGAATTTCTTGTTTGGATATGGGCAAACCATTCTTTCAGTTGATACAAGAACAAAAATTTAGTTGGAAAATTTAGTTATATCAACACACAGATTTGGTTGAGTGAACATACGCGGAATCCTTTTATAATATTCAACTAAACGATTCAGTTCACGCAACAGACACAATTTATTTAGTAACTAATGAGAATATTTTTAAAAGTCGCCAGCAGTAATTACCAACATCAGTGATTTTTATTGACCGTATCTGGCAATTTTAATAATACAGAAAATTTATCGCGAAAAATATTACCTCAGCCAGTTTGAACCTGAGGTAATATTTTTCGCAGTAGATTTTCTGTATTATTAAAATTGCCAGATATACAGTCGATAAAAATCACTGATGTTGACAATTATTTAGGACGTGATGAGATGTACGAATTTGTTGTCTCAACCATAAAATTTTGTTCAGACAAACGACTCACGGAAATAAAATGGTTGTTGTAACATTTAACTTCTTTTCGGCAACGTATTTTTCGTTTTATACAACCAAATTACACGATCAGTCAACAAAATGACTCAATCAGATTATTTCGTTTCATTCAACAAAAATGGGTCTCTCGGTGTACAATATTCAATTGAATAATTTCGATTTTAAATAATTGTTCTATGTATTTGTATTGTACAGTTTGCTGTTTATGGCGTGGACTACAACTCCGCTGTTGCGCATCGTATCGGTGAGTGGTAGATTAGCTTTTATTTTAAACCGACGTAATGGATCTATATAAAAATCGCGTTAGATCCACATCGCGTAAAACGCTCGTTGGAATTTAAGTACATACAGTTTTGCAAATATGAGCTTTCATAGCTCTGCCGCTTGAAAATGAATGGATTAGCGCGCAGATTAGAATAAATGAATGAATTAATACCGGAGGCGTTATCTGCGTATTAAAATTCGATCTAACCATAACTATACTGTTAATTGAAGACTGTATAAAACGACTCGGCTCGACTTTATTCAATTCGCTCCGACACGTATGTATTCGAAAAGGGAAATGAAATTCGACTCGGCGTAAAAAATCCCCCGATTCGCATATCTCTGCAAGCTGGAAATGATCTTCTGGGGGTCTGATAAATCTCGCACCTCGATATAACGTTTCGCGACGAGGCGTCTTGTTACCGGGCCCGCACTTAGGTGTTTTCGGCCATATTCGGCGATGCGTTCAGGCATTTTTACGATCCCAGGCAGGACCCATCGTCGGTAACCCACGGCCGTTCGCCGTCTCTCCCCCGTCTCTCTTTCCTCTCTGTCTCTCTCTCTCTCTCTCTCTCTCTCTCTCTCTCTCTCTCTCTCTTTCTCTCTCGTCTTCACGAAACGTAATCGTTTTTGCAGCCGGTCCGGTTCTCGGCGTCACCGACCTACCGGAACGCGTCGCGCCGGTCTCGAGCCGGGGCCACAGGTATGAAACGGCGAAACGGACACGCGGAAATTCCACCGTGATTTTCGCCGGCGCTTCCCTCTTTTTGCACGTCTGCGCGAGCACCGACGAGCCCTAGAGCGCACGTTACAAGCGCGAAACCGTCGCGTATCTCCCGAGATCCCACGATAAGACGACCCTCGCGGATCCGTATAAATCGCTTTACAAGTCTCACTCGTGTCTCGCCGGGAAACGACGGGAGGAAAAACAATTTGAGAATGTCCGGGCTTCTGTGCGCCGCCGCCGTTAGCGGATGCACCAGGGGCTTCCCGGCGGATCGCGGACAAGTGCTCCGATCGCGATAATTCAAAGTCGGTGCACCCGCCACGGATGCTGGGACGGAGCGCGAGGAATGCGCCCGGTGTCGGAAAGGAGCGACTTCCTCCTTAGCAACAGTCGAAAGTAGAAAATCATGCTACTAAATTTAGATTAAAAGCGGACGCGCGCGCGCCGAGGAAAACGCCGAACGCCCGTTGCTCGAGTGAGTGTGCACCTGAGTGCATCGCGCCGCCGTCTTATTCTGCAATCCGATTCCTGGTGCACAGACGCGAGAGGATCGACGGAGCGAATTCGCTTGGACGCCGCGCGGCAAGTGCCAGCTATTTCTCGCGGGAATTTATCGCCGAAGGATCCCTCCGAACGGGTCTTAAACCGGGTGACTCCTCGCAGGACAACGTATCGAAAGAAAAATCCAAAAATATCCTCGGGGCCTCGTTCGCGATCCCATGCGAAGGAGAGACAGGGAGAGAGAGAGAGAGAGAGAGAGAGAAAGAGAAAGAGAGATCGAGAGGATGGCCCCTACTCCATTCGCCGAGAGCAAAACCCCACCACGAATGGCAAACGCACAGCGCCGGGGAAGAGCGAGACGGGGTGGCAGGGAAGAGAGCGGCGGCAGGACGAGAGCGAGAGGACGGAGAGAGATTCGTGGTGAGAGAAACGGAGAGGCGAGACACCCGGCGCTGTGCGCTGCTCCGCGTTTTCGGAGCAGTTGGCGGCGGCGGCGGCGGCGGCGGCGGTGGCGGAGCCAGTTTCTCGTAGCTGCTCGTGCGGCGGCAGCCTGCGGCGGCATCGTGCCCGCCGTGTATCTCTCCCCTTCAGTATGAAGCCGACGACCGTGCCAGCTGCAGCGGCTGCACCTGCCGCACCGTCCTCGACAACGCGCGACCATCGTGTACTCCGCTGCGCCCGCGACGCGCGATCCTGATTCCTTTACCGACGAGGCTCGGCACGCGTCTCGGAATCTCCCGTCCCGTCGAGAGGATCCCGCCCGGGATCCTCTCCGCGCAAGCGGATCGATCCGCCGTAACGGAAGGCCGGAAGGGGCACCGATCGCGAATCCTTTTCTCTCTCTCTCGGTCTGTCTCTCCTTCTTCTCTTCGCTCGCCCCGTCGACGAGGAGCGTCGAGATTCGTTGAGACGCGTGCTCGTGCACGTGTCGCACCCGGGTGGACAGAGATAATCGCGCGTGTGCATCCGCGTACGCGCGCCGCGCCGGGCTCGCGTCATCGCGGGTGAGAAGAACTGTGAGGGAGGCCGCTTTTCCCTACCGGACTAAAAGTGAAAACTCGTCCTCCGTCCTACACCCGTTCGTCGCCTTGGTATCGGACTGCTCCTCCCCCCGCCCCCCCCCCCCGTCGGTGATAACCTTGGTAATTAGGCGAGAGAGCGGGCGGGCTTCGCGGGATAGCGCGACGATCACTCGTCGCGGCACAAGGTGAGTCCCGATTCCAGGCCCCCGAGGGTCAAGAGCGGTCAGACCGTCTCGCGTGACGCGACCAGCGCGATCTACTCTAGGAATTTCGGGGTCTTGGGATCTTTACGAAACGCCCGCGGGCTTCTCGACGTCTCCAACTTCGATATGTTACGAAAGATCGCGCTCTCCTTTCGACGATTATCTTGATAAATTTCACTTTTTAATTGGTACGCAACGAATTTTACTGGAAAGTTCTTCCACAACACTCGCAATTTTGATTCTTGGAAATTTGAGAAGATATACGCTCGCCACCAATTATTTGTTAAGTTTCACTTTTCGGCAACGAGCAGATTCCCGTAAAAACGTTCCCGCTTCAACGGCGCGATGTCGTTGTACAAATGAAACGCCGCTCGAGGCGGAACGTGTGGAATATAATTTTAACAAAGTGCCAAAAGACGAGAAGAAAGGAAATGTACAATATATCGAGGTAAATTAACTAGTCGAATCCGTCGTCCTCAGCTATCAAATCCTGTTCTCCGTTTGATCGGTGCGATATATCGATATATAGATTCAATTGGCGTTTCGGTCGCGGAGGCTGTTCTCTAGTAGCGAATTCGGTTGCTTGCACTAGTGCGCACTGATTGTGAGTGCACGTTAACGTCTGTTTATAATCGATTCTTGCACTGAGAAAAATTGTCACCGGACAAACCTATTAGTGTTTCCGACGGTTAATTTTTCCGATTACGTTTTCCGTTTAAATTATGGATACATCCGATGAAATGCAGTTGCCGATGAAATTTGATTGGAAAACCAATCATATTGCTCATCGGATATACAATTTAATCGGATATATCCGTTTGTTATTATGTAAAATTGGATTATCCGATTATATTTAATCGGACATGTTTCCCGGTGTATATTCAACTTTGTTTTAAGTGCACGTTCAAAGAGCACTTGGCCACAAAATTATCCGCACTGATGCAACACGGGTCATTTTATCGACTAAGAAATATTTCTTAAATTTCTTAAATATAAAAGTTGACTACAAACAAGCCTTAACGTGCACTCAGTGCGCACTAGCGCAAGCAACCGAATTCGCTACAACTTCGCGTCGTGTAAGCGACCCGAGGGCGATTTGTACGGATAACGCGAGGTCCCTCTCTTTCATCGTCGACGAAAGACGAGGAAAAGAAGCATTTATCTTCGCGCTTCCGCCACGCGCTTTGCAATAACCCAACGATAATAGCGTTAACAACGGCGAGCCGTGCGGCGGGAGAGGTGGGGCGGGGGGTCCTTCATTAATGCCAGCCGACGATGGTCCTTTGAAAGCCTGAGAACCCGGATGATTTACCGCGTCGTCTCGTCACGACGAGACCGTCCCCGACGATTTATTCGGCGGAGGTCGATGGTCTCCTTTTCCGCACGAATCGACGAGAGGCCTGCCGCGACCTCGACCTCGGGAAATAACGCGGAATTACCATCCCGGATGGCTGAAACGGCCCAGGGATAATGTAACGTGGGACCCCGAGGTCAGAGAGAGAGACGATCGCCCGTATAGTCGCAGCAATTCTCGCTAATGTGTTGCATTAATCGCGAAACGATTCTTCCCTCTCGCACTCTCTCGTTCCTCCTCGCTCGCCGCCTCCCGGCACGGACCGCGCAACGCGCGGGGTGGAGCAATATTTTGTCGGATGTATTATAAAATCGTGGTGGCGCGCGAACGAGCGGTTGGAAGTAATTGGTAATTTTCGCGGCTCTGCAGCTTAAAATTCGACCGAGGCTCGAAATTCCGTGCTCTTTTCTGGGCGAACTGGTCGAATTAAAATTTTTATCGCTCGAACGCAACGGCGAGAACTTTCTATTAATCCTGAAAATCATGTAATCGTGAGATAACATGGCATTTTGAGCAACTTTATGAAAGTTTCAGAAAACATGATCCCACGATTACATGATTTTCAGGATTAAGAGAAAATTCTCCCCGATTGCGTTCGAATGAGAAAAATTTATATTTTTAGTTTAAAGTTCAGGTTTTCTGAAACTCTCATAAAATCCCTCGAAATGCTCCACGATTGCGCGATCTTAAGAGAAAATTCTCTCCGTGAAGTGATTCAAGTATGACCCCTGCATATTGTCAATTTTATAAAATCATATTTCTCGTTAATAAAGAAAACAGTACGTTCATATTAATGCATTCGGTATTACGACACTAAGTAGCAATAAAATGTGATTCCTACGTTTAGACCCAACGGTTACAGATTACAGATTTGCCGCCTAATTGTTTCAGTTATCGCGACATAAAATAAAATAGCTTTGCATTAAACATTAAAATATATCTTTCACCCTAAAACGAATTTATATTTACAATCAATATTATTTTTCCACGTCAAAATATTTTCCCATTGTCTCTCTACGTGTTAAAATTCGATCTATAGATGAAACAATTATATGGTTAATTAAAAATCATATTTCGCCGACTTCGATAAAAAAAAATCCTTGCTTCGCAGATTTCTAAATCCTTTCTGAAAACTATTGAGGTAAATAATTTTGAGACCAACCATTTTCGTGCTGTCAGACGAGGAGTCCCGATTTCGAGAGCGAGAGGCGAAAAAGTGATAATTATCGTCCTTCGATTGACTCGCGATTAAATTTTGACGACGACGAAGAAGACGCGGCGCGATCGCAAGCGTCGTTTCGTTTTCGCGACCCGCGACGGCTCTCCGTGTTTCGCGCGCGTCGCAATTAAAGTCGCAACTTGTCTTGAGCCCGACATGGCGACGGTGTGTCCCGGGGAAGGCAACCGCACAGCGCAGTCATTAACTCCCGACACAATGCCGGGGCAATTAAACTGATTTGTGTGTCCCCGCTCGCGAGAAACTCGCTTAATCTAATTTCCATGGCGATCTACTTAATTATCCCCGACGGTTTTCGGACCTTCGGTTCGCGTTCGCCGATTGAGAGCCGTACGGGAAAGCGACTTTTTCGCCGTGCACAATGCGGCGGCGATTTACCGTCGTTAATCGCCGATCGCGTGGGGTATGAAAGCGAGCGCGCCAGGTCGATGTGGCACGTTTCATGCAGAAACGCTCGGTACACGGTAAAGGACGTTGCAGGTAGAAAATAACGTTCCCGAAGAAAGGTCGTTTGAACCCTCTCCTTACGTAAACGGCGCTTTCCCCCCTTCGAAAGCTTCCAAAGGTCTGCCTAACTTTCACGATAATAAACGAAACTGCACTGAGAAAAATGCCCGATTAAATATAATCGGAGAGTCCAGTTACATAATAACAAACGGACGAAAAATATCGGTTTTTCAATCAAATCTCATCGGACGTATCCATGATTCGATCGGCAAACGTAATCGGAAAAATTTAACCATCGAAAACGCTATTTAATATGGCTTATCCGACGAAATGTTTTCTCAGTGTGGTAAAATTATTAAGGCCCCGAGGTCCAATATTTTCACGGTGCCCCATTAACCTTTTTGAATTTCGTGGCCCGCGCGCACTTAGCGGACTCGCTGTTCTCACGTGGTCCTGTGAAATGGAGCCACAAAAGTGGCACGCGCGAGCAAGTGAAAAAACGCATGTACGCCGCACCTGCGCGTGGAGGGCATTCAATGCGGTATTAATCGAGGGTATTTAGCGTCGATATATTATCGCCGTGACACAAATAAACTCTACACGGGGACGGTGGCGCGCGGCGCGCCACCGATTCTCGTTTCGGTGATAACAGCTGTAAGAAACGGCTGGGCAAACTCGTTTCTATTATCGTTTAATAATAGTCGCCGATTTGTCTTCGGGAACGGGACTAGAACGCGCACGGGCGAGAAACCGTACGTGAAAATTGCGTAACGCCTCGATTCAGGCGAAACGAATACAAATCCGTGTACCGTTTGACGTCTTTTACGAAAGGCTGGCAACACCGAGTGTGTATACATGACGTGTATGTGCCTTTATCAGTCTTTTCTTGTTCAGCTCTATTAAAATCAGAATGGTGATTAATACGTAAGGAACGTAAATTGCGGCGCATTGCTTCATGTGTGTAGCGTAAAGAAAAGCGATATTCAAATAGCGTGTCTCAATGATGCCTAATTTTCAACCTAGAACATTGTTAATTAGGGAAAATCAAAAATATAATTGTTTCAGCGTAAATAATTATTTTTAAGCATATGAAATGAAATGAAGAACAAAGAAACGTGCCTACGCCGCGGGACTACTTATGCCCTGTAATTCAGACGCGTTTCTCAATTATGTTTTCTTACTAAAACATTGTTATCTCAGAAGAATAGAAGAAATATAATTGTTTTAGCGTAAATAATTATTTTTAAACATATGCAATGAAATGAAAAACGAAGCAACGTGCCTACGTTGCGGGACTAATTACGCCCTGCAATTCAGACGCGTTTCTCGATGACGTTTTCTTACTAAAACAATGTTATTTAAGAAAAGTCAAAAATACAACTGTTTTAGCATATATAATTATTTTTTTTTAATATGAAATGAAATGAAAAACGAAGGAACGTGCCTACGGTTGCGATGCTAATTACGTTCCGCAATTATCAGCCGCGCGAGACACAGCGAACGGGGGGTACAGGTGTGGAAAACGCGGTTAACTTCGCGAGACGAGTTCGAAAACGATATGCGCGATCGTCCGTGAACGCCAAGTCGATCGTTAACTAAGTCGACGGCCAGTCGAATCACCGTAAAGATTAGCGCGCAGCGAACGTGGCGGCGGCGCAAAAGAAGATTACGGTTTCACCCTGAGTACATCGTTACGCGGGGCCTTTTATGCCCGGCTCAAATCGCCATTTAGGTTCTGTTTACAGCGATCCCCGAGAGCTACGGTCGGACTATGACCGCGAAATGGACTTCGCCTCGCGTAATACGGCCGCGGGACTCGAGGATCGAGAACAAGCCAGTTGTCGGGGAGTTATCCAATCCCATAAACTCGGCGATTTAGATCTCCCGGTGGATATTTTGCTATAATTAGAAAATTGTCGCGAATTAATCGGATCGCACTCTCGC